GGAAGTCGGCTTCTGCGTAGCGAAACCAGGCTTCGATATTGTCAGGCCAGAAGGGCATGAGTTGGAACAAGGGTGGGGACATGGACTTGATTTTAAATACCTTAGGAGTCTGTTTGGTCATAGGGGAATGTTAAGTACGAGAATACGAGGGAAAAATATATAGATATCCTGAAACACGGGGGGAAAATATCACAATGTATAAAAAATAAAAAATAAGGCAATAATATATAAAAATCCCTAAAAGGAACAGAATCATAGTTGTAATTAGATGAACCAGATCACGTCGGTCTCACCAATGCTGATGGCACAGGTATTCAGTGTTTGACAACGCTTTTACCAGAAACACCTTCTAATATAATTCGTACCCACCAAGAGAAATCAAAAGACAGAGTCAAGGAGATCGGAAGAGTGTATTTGGCGATAACCAATATATCGGAATTCTCTGATCTAATCTGGCTAGCAATTGCGGTAGACGTTGAGCACAGCGTTACCACACGTGATCTGGTGCGGATGCATGACCGAGAGCCTTCACCTAGATGAGTCCACTAAAACATATGGCCAGCATCCAATGTTGAAAACTTACAGAGCTATTTATTTTGGGGATTTGTTTACCGCTACACTATCTTGAATTCATTGAGTTTGTCAGTATCTCGAAATAAGGCTGCATTGAACCTTTGTAGTGCTGTTTGTCCACTTGTTCAGTTCTATTTTAGCTTACGTTTTAAATTGGCCACACCTAGGTGGTGATCTGAAGCTATGTCAGCCCTTCTCCTGGTTCTCACATCTTCCATTGTCCTTCGGAATTTTCTGTTGATGCAAATATGATCTATCTGGTTCTCTGTGGTTTGGTCCAGTAAGATCCATGTCGCTTTGTGTATACGTTTGTGTGGAAATATTGCGCCACCTGTGACCAATTTGTTGAATGCACACAGATTTGCAAATCTTTCCTATTTTCGTTTCTCTCTCCCAGTCCATGTCCTCCCATGATATCTTCATATTCGATGTTGTCTATTCCGACTTTGGCATTTAGATCTCCCGTCAGAATGGTGAGGTCGTTGCTTGGGCATTTCGCTGTGATTGCTTGTAGTCTCTAGTAGAACTGATCTTTACTGTTGTCACTGCTATCATTGGTGGGTGCATAACACTCATCATGATTCCCTCCTTCTTCGTTTTGGATGATGCTTTGATGATCCTGAATTCGTGGGATTCCCATCCTATAAGTGCATTTCGTACCTCTTTGGACAACATTAGAGAAACGCTCTGAGTGTGTGGAGCATTTTTCTCTTCGTAACCGGAGTATAGCAGCAACTCTCCCGCACTTGGCCTTTTCTTTCCAGCTTCCGTCCAATGGGTCTCACTGATTCCCAGCACTGCCAAGATGTATCTCTTCATTTCAGTAGTTATTTGACTGGTCTTCCTGGTCTCCCACATTGCCAGCTGGCTACGGAGTTTTGGTTTTAAACGTTTGTTTAGCCAACAGCTACCTGAGGATTTAGTTATTTTGCTAGTGCAGTTGATAATACCTAAATTTTTAATCTTATTATCTAAACTATGTCCGCATTTTAGGCTGCTAATATGATAAACCAAATACGATAAGCGACAACGACTATGATGGGTTTATTGATAAATGTTAAAGGCGATTCAGATGATTTCTAAATTTAGAAGACATGAAGATATAGTGTAACGTATGTACGGGCCAGGTTAACATGCAGGTTCTTGACGTATATGACAATTTAAAAATAATGAACATGACCAGATAAATAAATTCAAAGTTAAGACTGCTTGTGAAACTTCAGGCAGGAATATGACGCGTTATGAACATTCCATAAGAAGTTGCTACATTTAGCCTAGGGACACTTACAAATATATGGCAAAAGCAACTGGAAAACATATACATGTTAAGTACAAAAAATCATTAAGTAACTTAGCTGAACTCGCCTGGGTTATTTTTGAAAATGAGATTATTCAGTGGACGACATATATAACGCCATTCGTGAGGAGTAGAAGTGATCCAAAAGTATCCAGAATAAAACATGCAGTATGGCAATTAATTCCAGGGTGCTTGATGCTATTGGCGTTTTTGTCACTCGCTCGGATCAGAACGATGAAATGAATCCAGATAATTGTGTGGTTGCCATTGAACGAGTCATCTAAAATGACTTTATGATTGCAGAAAACTTATGGCTGAAACTCACCGTGTTTTTGGAGAATTGTCATCCTTATTGTTTGGCAATGGAACTCGAAAATATGATATTAGGCAGGCAGTGGTCGGAAGAAAAGATATTACAGGATAGTGCATAGTTTAAAACAGGATAAGGTGTTAGGTGAAGGAACAGTGATAACTAGACTCAGATAAATATTTAGTCCTTGATTGCATTGTTAGTCAATGTATATTTACGCTATTTACAGGTCATATTTGCTAGAGCTTGATGTTTAAACAAGACTATGTCGCTGAAGCATGTAAATGCTACTAAAGCTTGTTACCGAACCATCAAAGCTAATTAGTTAATATAGACGACCAGTTTTTACCATCGATTGACCTAGTATGTTATGAGAACTAGAATTATGGTCTAGTATGATATTAGTACTGCTCTAATAATGGACCTAATCCTAAATTTGCAGATTTGTCATGATATAACTGCCTAATCTATAAGATCTTACATGGAAGTCACATAATCGTCTACACCAACTCACTGTATCGTAACAACTACCAGTACATGATGAGGAACAAGCTTAAGCTAGAGAAAGAACAATATATTTAATATGAATAAAAGATATAAGGTAATATTCAGCAGGGACCATGTCTGCATGGCCGAGCCATGCCATTCGATCAACTCCCATTCACTCAATCATTGTTCGCGCCTTCTCCATCGTTAGGTATTTCTCCACGTTAAATATTGAATATCCATTTTCTGAGTAGTCTCGTGTTCACAGCTTTGTGGATTGTGTGGCTTTTGTCCAATGCCACTACAGACTCACTTCTGTTCCATTTTAAACAAACAAATAGTATTAGCTCTGGTCAAAAATGCGGAATGGGTCAATAAGCAAATTACATGTTTTTAAGCAAAGAAGAGTTTGCATAACTGTGACTGACTAACATGTTCATGAATATTAGTTAACGATGAGGTCAGCTAATGCAACATGTAGAAAGCGTAGTATGTGTTTATTAACGTAGTGTACAGCTTTTATTCTTTTGCTCAGGTTTATGTGTTTTAATACATTTGCGTCTCGTTCAACTGGAAGATATCCAGCAAGACTTAGTGTCTAATAAACTAAAATTTCCAGTTATTAGAAAGATTTTTGACGTTACTTCACAGCTAACTGCATTTAATTAAGACGCACAACACTCTTCTTTCACGACTGAATACTGCTGTTTTCCTGGGAAATAAAAACACAAACACTGAGTTACCCATCTGTCGATGTTAACGATGGGAAACCATTTATTAACAATGATCTTGAAATACGATCAGGGCCAGAAGTACAGCCTACAAACGAAAACCGAACATACTTATCATTTCTGAATCCAGAGATAGCATTAACTATACTTAAGATAGGGTCGGACAATTCGGGTACTGAATTAGGAACGTTTACAGGGGGACCTTCAATATCGCTAAGTTTATTAGGAGAGTACATTACATACAAAATAAACTAGTGGGTCAGTTGAAATAAACATTACGGCAAACAGAGTAAACGCTCGGCTTACCAGATAATTGTGCTGGACCAAAATCATATTAACTTAAAAATGACAATAAAGTTATTACGTCCAAAAGTTAACGTTATAATATATCAATTATAATTTATACACACAAAGAATAGTTATGAGACGTTACTTAAATTGTCAGGATTTGGCGTGTTTGAACTGCGCTTGGTACCATAATCCACAATCATAGGTAATTAATAATTCCAATGAGGTTGTTGTAACACCAGCGATATGGCCAGATGTAGTATATAATGAAAATATGGCTGTAGTCTATAAATGTAGATAATATATATTTTAGGGTTCAGACATCACAACAACATGTAACTGAGAACGAGAGACGTGTGTGTAGCAGCGTATTTACGAGCGGTTAGCAGCATGTGTCGTGCTATGAAGAATTAAAATGGAAGAGTTCACGGTCATATAATATTCAGTAACTTTTACAATCATTTTTGTTAAATATACAAACTATGAGAATTAACAAAAGAAATGCAAATAATATCAAACCTTATTTGCAAAATAAGTTTGTTGTGCTTATATCCATATATTCAATATATCCACGGATTAGACGAAAAGCAGCTCGTTCCTAATGAGACTGTCTCGATGGGTTTTGACAATCTAAGAAATACGACGAAAATCGACTGCTTTAACGTAATCACAGTTTCAGTTAATACCACACAGTTGTTTTACAGATGACGTTGATCTTTGTTAAGATGAGGTTGACGCTCAACTTTCTCTAGCATGTAGAAGCACTCTCAACTGTTACATTCCCCATCAGCCATTCGACTCTACCTTGATTTTAAAACACATTTTTGAGATTGTTTCCACTGACTTTTAATCCAAACTGTAGTTGCTCGTTTTGTACTTAAGGTATAGCTTCAGAAATAACATTGGCATAAAATGAATCTTAAGGAGAAAATGATATAAGAGGGCATAAGTCTCCGAAGACTTATGTAAAGTCTTTAAACTTCTGAAAAACACAGCTCTTCTCACTAATCTTCCTAAAGTTAGAATCTTAGTACACAAATCAGTCACTCTATGACAACGCATTTTATGCATTCCATAATTATATGATTCGTCGTAACGCAAATGTTGACATATTTACGTATTTGACACAATTAACACATTCAAGGATTGCAAGAAACAGTGATTTTCTGTTTCGGGGTGTAATCATCTTTCAGAGCTTCGACACGGAGTGTGTTTAAGCTATCTGCGAACGAGATATAATGACCTACAAGATATAGGTGATTTTCAAAAGTAATGGATTTGTTATTGAAGTGTTTGGGAGTCGGGTCGTAGACTTATGATCGACAACAAAAGACTTTCTACTAAAATAACAGGCCCTTCATGCACAGTTGTTTCTGACAAATCAGTAGTTACAGTCGGCCGTAAAAGCCATATCCCTGTAGACGTGTGTCTTGACGATTCTGAATGTGTATCGCGCAAGCATCTAGAAATACACAGAAAAAACAAGGATATATATCTTAGATGTCTTAGTAAAAACGGAATATTTATAGATGGGTCCTTTCATATTGGGAGGCCGGATTTCGTTCTTTTAGCTGATGGGTAAGTAGTGCCAGTAGTTAGAAATGATTATTTATTTATCGTAATTTAGGTGTAAATTAAGGTTTCCGAGTACAAACATCGTGATTATCGTGGAAGTGGTCGAACTTGAACCTTTTTGTCACCCTAAAAAGCGGGCATCTTGGAGATCTTCACTTGATCACACCAATCGTGGCGAGCCTACATTGAGTACTGATCAAAACAACAGGTGAGTAAATTCCCAGTAGCCTATGTACATAAATTATTTTATCAAGCTAATGTGTTCCTCAAAATCTTTCGTATCGTCTATAAATAATTCTTTCGAATAGTTTGCTTTATAGATTCATAAACTCAAATTGTCTAACTTTATCAGTGGTAATTCCGTAAATGTGTATAAATCAAATTAGTCTTTTCATGTTTTTCCTGTAAATCAATCTTGTCATTATTTTAACTTTGAGTGAGCATCTAAGCTTACGGCGAATTCTTCTTCGGGTTTAAGTGGTATACGTAAGTACCACTTTGCTTGAGCTTAGCGTGCCAGGCTGTACCATAACAATTTCTTGGTCATTTAGGTTGTTTTCTTCAGTATGTAAAATAATCCATAAAGAATTCGGGACCGTAATGTTCATTCAACAATAATTCATAGTCTAGCTTTCGTGTACCAATCCTGTTTGATTTCTGAAAGATTTAATCACAAATGGTATGTGGCTATTTACATTCTGCATAAATGTTATATCTATCCTCGGTTTCCCTTTAGTAAGAATCTGCACATGTCATGCTTGAGCTAAATTTTCTAGTCCTTAAAATATAGATGTGTTATTTTGTCTTTGGAGTTTTACTTTCTATTTGTTCAAATTCCCTGGTACGACCGAGAATGGGGAGAGTCCGCTCTCCCTCTCTAAATGCTCTCACATGGCCACGCGTATATAGCATCTGCCAGGAAAGTCCTATTTGTTGCCCTCTCGTGGCGGGGGTGTTTACGAAATTGAGAGGACGAAAAGCGAATGTCCGGTGCTTTACCCAGATTGGTGGACATGGAGAGTCCACCTAGAGGAGTTGGAAAACCCAAGTTCCAAACCAATAATGCACATGGGCTCCAGTACCCTAGAAGAACAAATGGCATATGAACCAATCATTGGTCACCGGCTACCATGGGAATGCATCTCCTTACGTTGCTCCACTGCCTTGTGAATCAGACCTTCAGGTCGAAGTTTCCGGGTGTGGCCCTCTAAGAAAACCACTTACTTCGGTTTGGGCACCCGGGCAGTACCACAGTCCTCACACATATCAAATGAGATCTGTGTGGCGCACGTGTATTTGGTTCCTCCTTGTACCAATATCTGTGTTAAAATAAATTCCTATCTACATTAGAGTATAATTTTAGGACTCGGTAACTTTTTATCATTACCACTTGATAAAGCATAATTAATTGAGATCATGAACCGATCAAGGATTATGGTTCAGTACGTTTACTCAAAATTTACTTACAGTCATGTGGAGGTAGCCGCTTTTAACCCACAGGTCTTATGGATAATTTTATTAGACTTAAGATGTGTGACCTATGCAAATGAAAAATCTAATAATAACATCATACATAAAGATCTGTGACAAATTTGGCATTTGACATGCACACATAGTCACTATTCACAACGTATAGTAGTTAATAAAATAATATCGAGAAGAATATAAAGTAGACGAAAACAGAACACTAGTATGAGAATTAAGAGTACTCGCTCACTTAACAATAATCTTTAAAATAAGATGTAAATAAAGACCAAATTAATACGACTTAATAGATTAAGGTTGAGTTTATTCATGTTTCGTCAAAATTTATCTAGTCTTATCCACTACTAGTTCCTTGTTTATTTTGTCTTCCTTATTAAAACATAACATGTTTTAATAGAATATGGAATTATCAGCTTTTCACAACCATCTAATTTTAGGACGATGTTCTTTTTCATAAATCCCTCACCAATTATAGTAATAATCACTATTCATATGTATTAAATCGACCGGAGAAATATTGAAACAAGTGTATAGTGAAGTTAAGCAAAAGTAGTGATGATAATTACTCCAGACAAACGCTCCACATCACTTCGGAGAGCAATTCTCCATAAACGTCTATGCGGCTATATGAGCTTGAATCAAGTGTCTTTAGTAGCATAACACATTGTTATGGCACTCTCTTCAAAGTTTGGTACCTCTGAAAGACTTTTCGATAGATGAAGTCAGAAATTGCCCTGAAGTATAAAGTTCATTGTAAAACACTAACAAATATGTTTGTATTACTGAACCCAGTAAAGTGTCAAAATTTTGTTACTTTAAACCATCAGCATAGAACTTGTTTAGTTTTCATGAATTTGCTGAATGTCAAATATCTACAATTTTCGGCAGCATATTACTCAAACAGATTCCTGTAGGGTCGTCTCAGGAGTGTTCATGTCATTTCTCATAAACTGAAACTATCACCCCCAATGAGCAGTCTGTTCGGACGACTTTCTATTTCCGTATTTAGTCAAAAAACACGGTTTTCTAACCTACCCATTTTATTCACTAGCCTTCTTAACTAGATATTGCTGTACATGGAACCCCTTCTCTAAATAAATCCATGGTGCAGTGCCCCTAAAAACTAAGCCTAACAGTCAGGTATTAATTTACTGAAAGATTAGTGACCTAGAGGCCAATTTCCTCCAGTCGCCTGCGACATTTTATCATATTTATTTTGTGTCTGTATTTTCTATACAGCCATGTTATTTTACTTAAAAAAACCTATTCATTCAACTAGTGGTCTTGTCCTTATTTCTAATCGTTCGGGGACTTCAGTCAATAAAATGGTCCCATGTGAAACCATCACTCGGCCATGTCGTATCACCTCATCCATCTGCCGATTACCATTATATTCATTGTCTTTAACAATTGAAAACTTCGTCTCATCAAACTACCGAAAACCTCCATAATAATAATAATAATAATAATAATAATAATAATAATAATATCTGATTTGTCAAATTTTCATATGGCTTGAAAGAATTGCTTTCAAAGTAGTGTTGTGCGTATTCTTGTTATATGTACGTTGTAAATGATGGCGGACTAAGGTATTTATCTTTTCCGAATGATTTTGTGGATAGAATCGGTCGCTTATGTGATTGGTGAGTATCAAGGATCAACGTGGTTGTAGCTTGTTTATTTTGGTACTTGATTTCAATTATCGAGTCAGCCTCAAACCTTGTTTTTACTTTAAAGTATGTGACCAGTTAGTACTTCTTGGGAGTAACTCTGTGGTGTGGGTATTCTGCACCCGATAACCAGGTTGTATGTTTGAACTAAATCCTGCTTTATTTCTGAAAACCGCTATCATCCCTAGTCCTTACATGACAAACGTGAACTAAAACCGATTACTTAATTATTCAGTTGAATTACTTATGTTTGTCAAGGATAATAACCGATGACGTTCTCATATTATTTGTAGTCTGTATTCTAGTTCACGACCTTGTTTTTAACTACGGAGTTGTTTTTTAGTTTGAAGTGATGTACTCATGCTGTCGATTTCGGTAGTCACAAAGTGTTTGACAGTTTCTTACTAAATTATGACATTTTTGAATACCTAGATTAGTCTTAGTACTATTCTGTAGAAACGCATAAACACAACAAAGTAAAATCTGATGTATAATAATTTAAGTGTGTTTACCTAGCAACCATGAAAGCAAATTTACACTACTTATTTCGGATTTAATTTCTTATAAAGTGTCATTCATACTAAACTTTCAGTAGCCTTATTTAAAAATTGTTTGTATGCCTTGTTATATTTTCATATACTTACACTTTTGTTTTGCAGAAATATGACAAATCCACTAATTTCACCAATTCTAACGTCCAAAGGATTTGAAGAAAATTCCCATTCTTCATTTTGTTTTGAGTCCGGAAATTGTCGAAATACTCCCGAAGAAAGACATGATGTTTCATGTAACAACTTAAAAATTGATTATCAGAATACTATTCCGGATTTATCCCTTAATAGTCTTCAGGGTTCAGCCACCTCAAACTGTGCATTATTACCGGTTGAACCATTATTTGTACAATCAGATCAAAATTTCAATATTCCAGCCATCAGAGCAGCTACAACAGTCCTTCAGAATCTTATTCAAAATGATAATCAATCTAAATCCTTAAATATCGATGGTGAATCACTGTTTCAAAGCGAAAATTCAGATGTTGTAACTAAAATGAATCATATCGCAAGATTGTTTGCTTTTAACTCACTTGCACAGCTATCCCAGTTGGATGCACACAAAAGTAGTACTCTAACATTATCTAACTTAGTGAATTTCCCTTCTCATCAACTATATGACTCCAGATCAACTGAACTCAGTAAGCTTTATAATTTACTTTTGATTTCACTATTGAAAATAATTGGTTCAAAAATGTTCATAGTATGATAGTGTTCTAGTTTCAAAATTAACATATTATTGCCTCCTAAAGTTTTTATGGAGAAACTACATAAGTCTACTTGTTAATGTCCGTTATCTATTATTGGTGACTGTAGTATGATTCCAAACCTGTCACAATGGTACTCCCACATATTCTCTTAAATCACTTACCCCTGCTACACCTCGTGGGGGAGCATAGTTTAAACAACTTTTCATTATCTTCCTTTTATTTTTCTACTACTATCTGCATCAATGTTTTCACTCTTGTTTTTCCTGTGTCGATTCTCCACCTTTCTACTGTTTCACACCACCTTTGCCCTTCATCGTTTGTCCTTTAGTAAATACACCATCCACGAATACATCTTACTCTTATTTGTTATCTGTACTTCTGAAAATATTCAACTAGGCTAGTAGCACATATTTTCGTGTTCCGTTTATTTATATAGTCAAACTACAACAAGTCTGTCAAAATTCATTTAATTTGCCATAAGATTTATTCTTAATTACGTTATACCTCATTTCTAATGACAATCTTTGAAAGTATCTGCTATTTACTCAATTCAGTTTTCTAAAGCTCTCAACATTTAAAGACAATTAATTGAAATGGAGTAAGAAATATGAAATATTGTAAGTGAAAACGACAATAATGTTTCTAAAGCTATGATTACACAAATGATGAGTTCTAATGTATAGTTAGTGCTTTTTAATTTTCATAAAAGAAATTCCCACTACAAGTCGGTGTAAAATAAGAAGTTGAACTTTCATAGTAGTTGGTGATAAGCACAGGTCAACATGCCATTTATTGTCTTATGATCCTTTAGAGTGCACAAATTACTCGCTTTATATTATGTTCTTCCAAGTACACCATATAAATGTTCTTCCTCTATTATTTAAACACTATCGAGGACTCAAACTTGGCTGCGTATGCTTCATTTTGTCGACTGAATAGTATCATAATAAAATTTTCACAAAGCCTAATGGACGAATATACACTTGATTATTTAGTTCCAGTCTATGAGTCATCTTGTACTACAAATACAAAAAAATTGTTGTTTTAGTATTTTCTGACTATATATCAAGATTTAAAGTTTGTCTTTGACTTTTCAAAAAAAACTGTCTATCTTACCAGTCACGATCACATCTCTGTTCCTGATTCTTCATGGTCGCATTAGAACTACAATAGATCCTCCAATTATTAAAACACGGGGTGTTCATGAAATGTTCCCTATTTTTGTCTGACTATACCATAACTAATTTTTTTCCAACTTTTTATAAATTACTTAACATTATAGTGACATCTCAGAGATATTTATTTTTGTGTGTACCCAGATAGCATGTATGAAACTTACAATTCTTCTAGACACCCTAAGTTAAAATCTGTGAATATTTGATATTTTCAAGACCTTCGAATATAAATTAAATCAGTGGTGAATAAACAATTTGGCGAACTCTAATAGTTGATTAGATTGCTGAGTAGTAGGGACCAAGGTCATGTTTGTCTAGTCCTTTAGTGTCAATCAAGTTCTATCGGTTAAGCTGCACTGTGTTCTTTAGTTAAAAGTGACTCGAATTCGAATATACTAGGTTGCTGCACATAGTAGAAAATCCTGAACTTAAATTTTGTTCTAGTTAGTACTTGTCAACAAGGTGTACCTGCAATCCTGAGGCTGTTAATGTTCCTTGGGGGATTAGAACCTGGAAAACTTAGCTTCACTGATTCAACATGTAAGCCCTTCGACTTGTACTAACACACACTGCTAAAATATACACATAAGTTTGCTAGGTAGTAAGCGAACAATTATTTTCAATTAGATCGTCATCAGGCTTTACTCTAATATACATGAATATCTATACAAAGATGTTGAAGCAATCAAGGCAATTTGAGTCACCACACATAGTAGGTAAAAGTACAAGTTGGTAGTAGGAAGAGGAGTGTATTGATAGTAGTAAGAATAATAAAATACGATAATAAAAGTCTTATCAATAGTTAAACATTGGAAATAGAAGGTCAAACGTGGGTAAATAGACTTAGAATAATCATCACAAAACATTAAAACCATTACGTAATAAGAAGTGTGTAAATAATTAGATAGTGAAGAATACAAACGGGAAGAGGAGGAAAATTACAAATACAGGGTGTGAAAATAAAGTTAATGATAACAAAAATATAAAAAAAACCATTTGTTAAGTAATAACTGGCCATGAAAGGGATAGGGAGGTCACGAATTTCTTCTGTACATATAAATTGGGGTTAAATGTACGAACTCCGTTGGGATATGATGGAGGTATACGACAGATCACTCGAAATGCTTCCGATCTATCTACATTATGACCACTATCAATAAGATGTGCGAAGATAGAACTGCGTATTGTTTTTATTTCGCCCTTTATAAACCAAGCTGGTAGATGTTCACTCATTTGTCGGTTAATTTGTCTGGCAGTACGCCCGATATATCTCCACAGAAGCAGCTGGATTTGTAAATGCACATTGAGGAGGCCGACTCAGGTAACTTATCCTTCGTTTTAGTAGATATCTCTGGTCGACTCGAGAAGGTCAACGCAAGATTGGCTGCTTAGAATGTCCTGTTAATTACTTTCGTTAACCTATCTTTTAGAGTATCACTAGCCACATCCCTGTTGAATTCTAGTTTCATGTATAAAGGCTTCTTTCGAGCAGTCGAAATCTCCGACTTCTTTTTAATGTTATACATGTACTTCTTAATGAACGCACTGAGGTAACCAATCTCGGTCAGTGAGTTGTTGGTAAATTCCAGCTCCTGACTTAAAATGTCTACTGAACAGATCTTTTTTGCTCTGCTAGTAAGACATCTAACCAAATCTCTCTTGTAACGGATAGGTGTAATACTATAGGAGTGAGTATATTGGCAAGCAGAGGGACTTTTTCTATACACACTTCTACTTAACGAGCCATCACTTCGTCTGACTTAGTGTGACGTCAAGGAAATTCAGCTTTTTGTCACACTCACCTTCACCAGTGAAACTGATCGCCGAATGCACACTGTTGAATTGTTCTAGGAGTTTTTCCTTACTATATATATGTATATTGTTCTGTAATCTGTATCAAAAGTTCACTAGGGAATAAATATATTATGATAAATGAATATCCTTAATTCTAATTCACTTTTACTATTATTAACCAACTAATTAATCAACAGTAGTGATTTTTAATCATTTAGTGAATACAGGAAATAACACTCTCGTCGACTGAACTCTCGGGTATTGATCTCCATCCAGGAGGTCCACTTATCGACTTAGAATACGCAGATGACATAGTCCTGTTTGGTGAAGACGCTGACAAAATGCAGAGTCTTCTGGTAGCACTAAGCAACAATGCCAGAATGTTTGGGATGCGCTTCTCTCCCTCGAAATGCAAGTTGTTGCTTCAGGACTGGTCTGCGTCAACACCTGAACTAAGGATAGGGAGTGAAGTAGTCGAACGCGTTGACAACTTCACTTATCTTGGAAGTCTGATCAGCCCTAATGGGTTAGTGTCTGACGAAATCTCAGCACGGATTCGAAAAGCTCGTTTGGCTTTTGCCAACTTACGTCACCTTTGGCGGAGGCGAGATATCCGTCTATCAATAAAAGGACGAGTATACTGCGCGGCAGTTCGTTCTGTTTTAATTTACGGCAGCGAAACATGGCCCTTAAGAGTAGAAGACACCCGTAAGCTACTAGTATTTGACCACAGATGCCTTAGAAATATTGCTGGCATCTGCTGGGATCACCGGGTAAGTAATAGTGAGGTTAGACGCAGGGTATTAGGGAATGATGGTAAATCAGTTGATGAGGTTATGAATCTTCATCGACTGAGATGGTTGGGCCACGTGTTACGTATGCCTGAACACCGATTACCACGACGTGCAATGCTAGCCGGTGTAGGGGATGGTTGGAAGAAAGTTAGGGGCGGCCAAACCAAAACGTGGCATCAGTGCCTGAAGTCACTAACTTGTAGTCTGAGCCATGTTGGTAGATGCAGACTACTTGGTTGGGGTCCGCGTGACTATCGTAACCAATGGTTGGAGACTCTTGGTGACATGGCTCAGAATCGATTACAATGGCGTCGGTGTATACACTCCCTGTCTTCCCTTAAACTAAGAGATTAAAATCACTTCATATCTTTCTTTCTACGAACTAATTCTTTCTTCCTATACTATATCCTTATTGCAATCCTCCTATATATTACCACCTCTGAATTAACTACTTTTATGAATCCGGTGTTCATCTTGCTGTGCTAATGAGGTATGGCAACCTGGACCGATGCACATATGTGCCTGGTCCTACGTTGTAGCTGACTGACTGACTGACTGACTCTAATCATTTAAAACATACCACATGTACTTTAGATTTTATTTGGGTTTTTTTTCCCTAACATTTTACATACATTTACTTAATATTAGTTAAGATTTACTTGTAATCTGTTACTTCTAATCGTTTTAGATTGAATATCGTATAGAAAAAAAAGGCAACAAAATGAGAATATAGATTGTTTAACACATTTCTTTAGTGTAGTATATATGTATACATATGTCTTGCTTGTAAGATTGTAAGACTAGTGTCCTTAAGATATATTTTGTTCTATTTTAGGTTAGACATTAGCGTACTTTATGTGGCCTTGTTTGTTTGTTTTTTTTGTTGCCTAATAAAAACAAACAAAAATCACACTTTTGCCTAGATAAGATTATTAACTGATAATGGAGAATAAAATTAGTGTTTATGTTTGTCTAAATCACCTGGGTATATTTATAAATATTCTTTTTGCGTACTAATACTAATACTTCTACTTTATACCTGAGTTTATGTAAGTTTTAATATGGATAATATTATTATTGTTTACAATAAATGAACTTTAATAAACTAATACTTGTCAGCCTGATTTATCTCATTTTAATGAAGATTATACCATAGACTGACTTTAACTAGATAACCATTGAAGATCAGAAGACACTGAATAACTATTTCGACCTAGTATAAGAACCTTCATCAATCCACAGACACGACCTCGCCATAGGTCGAACCCAGGGTCTTTCAGGTATTGCGGCTAGCGCCTAACCTTTAGATCACTAAAGCAGCTGCTAACACTTAAAATGTTTATTTTCAAATAGTTTGCTATATTCCTTAGTTATCTCCTCATGTCATCGATGGATGAATGCCTCATAACCCTTCTGGTTAAACATCACCAGTTACGGCTTTTCATTAGAGCTCGGGCAACTATCATTCGAAATCAGCCATTTGTGATCACATGATAACTTTCAATGCAAGGTGTTTGTGAGAGTTCTATCCTTGTGGAGTGATGGACATGCACTGCTGAAAAATCCCATACCACGACGAAATACCTATCTAGTGTTTTCTATTTTTCAGCGGCTGTTTAAATAAGATTGCTCATTGATGTAAATAGAGATATATTCATTTTAATAATACGCTTTAGTAATACACGGTTAACACAAATTGACACTTATAAAAGGTCCGATGGAAGAGTCCCATTTTTATCTGTAACCTGTTCAGATTCAGGATAACAAACCTAGTTTTTTTGTGTCCAAAAATTAGCTTGTAATTTCTCTTTATCTCTTCATTGACTAGAGCCAACCTGACCCACGACATTACTAATTATTTTTACCACTTGTCTGTTTCTTTTTTCTTTTCTTTACCATCCTCGTGCTGTAAACTGGCCATTCATTTTATATTGCGTAATGTTTAATGATTATCATTTTAATAAGTTCATTTTTAAAGCTTTAACCTAATTTGCACACAAGTACACTTCCATACTTTAGATTACAAACTTGTCATAGCTAGACCTCCATTGAAAACATTAAAGCACTGGACGGCCGACTCTGTATTCAACGTTAGGCGTTCGAGTGCGAGACTAAAGGCCCTGACCTAGATTCCCAGATGTGGAATGGTAGATAAATACTAACGACAAGCCCTATGTCATGACGAAATAGATGTCCATTGCCTCCTAGTTTTCAATAGTTGCCTAACAAAGGTCGGTCGTAATGTAAAACTTTAAATTCAATTATCTTCACAACGAATTTTCAATAAAAATTACGTATTGATGTGAATTTTGTCTGGTTTTTCTAGAAGAATTCTTATTTATCATTAATTTACAGATTGTTCTACATTCAACCATGGCTTATCAGATTTAACGAAAAATCCCTTCGTATTGTCATCTAACTCTCCGGAATCTCAATTTAAAAAATCCGATATCATCGAACAAAACACCTTGACAGTAGACGATTTAGATGACACTGCCGATTCAAGTGTAGCTGCAATACACCAGAACGTCACAACATATTGTGGTGATGATCATAATGACGATGGTAATAATAATAATAATAATGGTTGCACTATTCAAGAAAGCGAATCAACTATTAATAAGTTAGCTGCAAATTTAGCTTCAACAACCGCGATTGATCGGGGCTCAACATTTCGTAAACCGCCTTATTCTTATGCTCAATTAATTATTCAAGCTATTGCATCGGCGCCTAATCAACGTCTAACTTTAGCTGATATTTATGCTCATATTTCAAAAACATTTCCATATTATAAACCACATGAAAAAGGTTGGCAGGTAGGCGACTTGAAATAAATTTGTCATTTCTGTATTTGTTTGTCTTGTCTTGAAACTAATTGTTTTCTCATACTGCAAACATGCAGTGATAATAATCCGACCACACATTTACTTATTAGAACATTTGATATATAAAAAAATAAGAGGTCAAAATAAACGAACTGAAAGATAAGAGAAAAACAATATGAATTACCCTACATTGTAGATAAAAAAATCAATATTACCAGGGGTTTGTTTTGTCTGTAAGTAAAAGTTATTTTGAAACACACGAGTGGGCTCAGGCGTGTTGAAGATTTGTATAGCTATGACTCCGACAAATTTAAGTATTTGCCTTATCTTAGACAACTTTTATGTAAAAATCACAAAGCTGAGTTAAGATTAATCTTATGATCTGTCTCAACTGTGTATTTAACGATGAACAAAAATGAGGGGTTTGTTATGTGCTCTTATTTGAGGTCATTTGACCCAATGATGATAAATTTGATGAACTGTTAATGTCGATAGATTTATAACATACTTTTTCTAATGATTGGTTCAGTTAAATCGCATTTCTGCTTTCCCTTGTACAGTTCACAATATCTAGTCACCCCATCTCCTGATATACAGTGATAGCTGAAGTAGAATCAGATTTGATGTAATAACTTACTTAATTACTTACGCCTGTTACTCCCAATGGAGCATAGGCCGTCGACCAGCATTCTCCAAACTTCTCTGTCCTGGGCCTTCTTTTTTAATCCCATCCAATTCTTGTTCATTTTTCTCATGTCTATTTCCATTTCCCGGCGTAACGTGTTCTTTGGTCTTCCTCTTTTCCTTTGGCCTTGAGGATTCCATGTGAGGGCTTGTCTTGTGACGCATTTGGGTGCTTTCTTTAATGTGTCCTATCCACTTCCAGCACTTCTTCCTGATTTCTTCCTCCGCTGAGATCTAAACTCCAGGTGGGGTTTAGATGAAATAAAGTTTACCCAAATTAATGTATGCAGTCACTTAATGTCTATTTCAATCCAACTATTCCAGTATGTATTCTTCCAGGCCATGCAAACAAATAGTTGAATACCGTTGGTGACTTTGTTATACCGCTCCAATCTACTTGAGATAATAAAATACACCATAATTATTGACACGTCAGCACTTGTAATTTTGCTCAAGAGATCGATTCTCCAAAAGTCCCAACCGAACAGGCATCAAATAGGCTGAACCGAACTAGCCAATGAACTAAACATATGTAAATATTCGTATTTGGAAACTAAAGTTAGCCATCTGATACTTAACTATTGCTTGTGAGCGGCAAACGCGGTAAAATCAGACTCATTGCAGACCTGGATTTAGATGTACTAACTAGATTTTCACCTTTCATCAGGTTATAACAGATCACGTGAAATTGAGTTTGTTCACAATTATTAATTCAATCAAGTCATTTTATTAACTTATTAACGAACTGAGTCATCCTAACAACAACTTATCTATATCATTGTATCTTTATTACTATTGCGAATGTATGAACATGTATGCCTGAATATTGTTTACGGCCCGCGCATTTATTCACTATGCTAGCCTTACTACTAACCACTTATTTGATTCGGTGACTCATTCATTTCACTATGTATATGTGTGTCCATGTTATTCATACTCATTGCTCTCGCTCTCGCTCGCCTAATTGTACGCGCTTGCTCGTATTCATATTCACTGATTCACTCACTCGCTCGCTTGCTTGCCTTTCGGCACAACTCTTCTATGCTTGTTTAACGCATCTGTAAATTTGAATATATGTGTGTGGTCCCGTAATAAACGAAATCAACGCTTCGTATTCGCCTTCTGATTAATATACCGTTGGGGCGTTATATAGGACGGTTATCAAGACGAACTGTATACAAAGTTTAAGGATTATATCCAATACCGACCACCATAAGGTTCTAGAACTTTGACATACCTCATGATGTTCGACTATAGTGATACTTCTTGACCCTAAGGGGAGCATACAATCTTGTTGATTGACGGGTTTTATAGCAGTGTATCACTGGAAAATTTACTCAAATATATGAACTTCACGAAATTTAGCTATTATTTACGTACATAGTACTCAATCAAAGCAGTATAATCAAAAAGAGTTAATTGTCCAGTCAACCGAAAATTCATCAAAGATAAAATATAACTTCACGAAGTGATCATTGTCTACCGTAACAAATACATGATATATAATTTACAGCATTACTGCTCTCTTGGTTTGAGATGTGCTTTTTTGTTTCAAGTTTAGTGATGGTAATTTAAATTAGTTGAGATAATATATATAGCCATATTTTCAGTATTAATTGTAATTGAAGTTTAGGCCATAACCAGCTTTGTTGTTCTGTAAAATTTAATAATTAATACTGTTCTTAATCAAGTTTACACATAGCTCAAAACATTAACTACAGTTCATAATAAAGGAATCATGAACGAAGTATAGGAAAATATTGTGCAGATAGATTTATCCAATAAACGTTAAAAAGTTAAAGGAAATTTGCTAACTGCTTCCAAGATCGTATTTCTTTTTGAGTTTGTAAGTTCCCATCTTATCACGGTACGCAGTATATAAAAATTCCATGTACATTCATGACATATTTCTTTTTATTATCTTAATGTGGTGTGGCAGCTTAGTGGTTAAGGGGTTTAACTTTCAACCACTAAGACCAAAGTTCGGACCTCACTCCACTTCGTTTTGAGCAACCGAATGGTATAGTTAGCTATCATATTTATAGCATAGCTCGCTCCCAATTACCTGGTGAGTGAGTTGCAATAGACTGAGTATTGGGAAAGTTAAAACTAGTTTACAGGTTATTGTATTTATATATTCCTTGTATTGTAAGCTTCCTTCAGACCTTTTAACTATTATCATACATTTTATTGTTCCATGGTTATCACTAACTACTCACTTTTTGCTTTGCCCTCTGCTATTTATGGCATTACTGTATGTAAAGCATGATCTGTTATTCGCAGTGCGTTGCGCTCTGATAATTCATGTATATAAGCTAATGAGTATTTGAAATAAATATAATAGGTGCTTAAAATATAGTAAAAGAAGGTTATCTACTCATAACTAGGGATAGAAGGCGTGCTTGTCGGCAAACCAAATAGGAGTTAATATTATTTTCACCTCCACTCAAGGATAACATTACCATTTGAAACTTATCGTTAGTCAAAGCTTAGAATGATGGACTATAGACGGTACAGTACACGTGAGAGATCGAGAGATTGACTAAGACCTTAATTGACCAGTCTTCTCTATATATCGAGTAACGTCGCATTCATAACATGAGTTGATTATTATTATTATTATTATTATTATTAATTAGTCTTGAGCTTTTAAAATTAACCACGTTTTATTTCTTCTCTTATGATAATACAGAATTCAATACGTCATAATTTATCATTAAATCGTTATTTTATCCGTGTACACGTTCTCAATCGGAACCTGGTAAAGGTGCATTTTGGCAATTAGACCCTTATTGTGAAACATGTTTAATTAGTCAAGCATTTCGTAAACGTCGTCAAACGTCGTCGAAGTCATCATCATCATCAGCTGATTTAAATCAAACTAATAATGCCAATAATAATGCTAATGATGATAGTAATAATGATCAAAATCAGTATGACGGTGACGATGATGATGATGTTGTCGACGATGAAGAACAACAACACCAAGAAAAAAAAGAAGGTGAACAAAGAAATGTTTTAAACGATAATAGCAACAACGAGAATAGTAATGATAATAATACTATTGATGTTAATAATTCTGCATTTCCTGTAACATCTCGTGAATTATTTTTCAATGATAATAGTCAACATAATCCATTAAATAATAACACATATATTGGTAATGATAGTAATGCCTCAGCTTCTCAATGTGTTTTTGTACAATCGAATTATTGTTTAAAACAACAAAATCATAACTTACAAAATGTACAATCTTTACTTCATCCTCACTCTTTTTGCTTGTCAAATTCATTATCATCGTTATCAACACCATCATCACCATCGTCGGTCATGTTATCGTCATTTGGTGATCACCAACAACGCCAGGATGAGTCTGGTGCAGTATTACATTATTCAAGTAGTTTACCAACAGCTAATGGAGATCGGTAAGATTTACTAATTTATGTTCCCATTAATATGTATTTGTGATAAAATACGTGTAGTACATCCGCCTTTCAATGTTCAGTATATGTGCGGATAGCAAAGGTTTTTGGGGTAATTTTCTGTCCATTTAGTAAGTGAGTGGTGCATATAAGAGCATAATTTTTACTGAGGATTTCATTATAAGCTGTAACTTCGCATTTTTTTATCTGGAAAGTTGGGTTTGGGCTACAATGGCGTGTTCATAAAAGACATGTGGAAAGCGTTAGATTATTAAAACGAAACTTTCAGTGAAAATTACATTCTTATATTCACCATTCATTCACTAAAAGAACGAAAAAAATTCTCGAAAATACTAGATATCAAACTTTATTGAACTGTGAAGAAAGGATGGTTAACCTCACACGTATTTATACTATTGGGATGATTTTGTTTTGATACAAAAATTAGTGGTTGAAAACAAAATCATGGTCACTGGAATATGACCCCCAAATGCCCTGGTACGACCGAGGGTGAAAGTCAGCTCTTCCTCTCGAAATGCTCTCATATGGCCACTGCCAGGAAAGTCCTACTCACTTACTTCTCGCACCACGGGTGTTGTTTACGAAATTGAAAGGATGAAAAGCGAATATATGGCGCTTTGACCAGTTTGTTGGATACGGAGGATTCACCTAGGGGGGGTGGAAAATCCTGATTCCAAACCAATGGTGCACACGACCTCCAGGATCCTAAGGGAACAAATGGCGTATGAACATATTGCTGGTCACCAGCTTCTATGGGACTACATCTAACGTGGCTCCACTGCTTTGTGGATTAGATCTCTAGGTTAAAGGCTCGAGGGGTAGCTCACTAAGAAAAGCACCCGGGCAGTATCACAGCCCACACAAAAATCCGATGATTTATGTGGCGCCTATGTATTTGGTGCCTCTCTGTACCAATATTTATGTGTTTAAATAAATAAATAACAATAACTGGAATATGAAAAAGTTTTAACTGAGGTAGGCATGTGATATTTGGTAATAAGATATGACTTCACTTATAATACATAACCTGTCCACTTCTTTATTATAAATGTCCATACGTCTCACAATATATTCATTTATTAAGTACAATGGATTTTTGTATTTGAATTCATATTTTTACATTTTGTTTAGGATGTATAGCTGAGTTAAACTGCTCTGTCCATGTTCTGATAGATCACTTTAGAATAGAGGAATCAGTGATCTGATTATAACCATAAAGTCACAAGTTTTAATCCCACTATCGAACTACTTTAGTTTGATCAATCGGGTAATAAGCGCTACATTCCTTCATATAGAAATTAGTACCCCAACGAAGCTGAACAAATAAATGCGTACTTCGTAAATACTTTACGTCAAATTAAATTTTAGGGAAATTACTATGTCCAAGTGTGTTTAGTGGTGTATGATCTCTTCATCATCACATTTCCCAATTCATGGTATATTGTTTAGTTGAAATAATGAATAGATTTATAGAAATGTGTTGATGGCTATTGGTAATTAAGTGATAAACAGCTTTCACTGATAACTACTGATTTAATTAAGTTATTAGTTGGGGTTTGTCAGGTATACGCAATATGGAACCTGGTATATTTGTACATTTCAACTTGCCACACTACATTAGCACTGCGACATGAAATTATCAAGACAAATCCTAATATTTTGGAAATATTAACGGTATCATCAGTAAAAGAAAAGTTTACACATAAATAACGTGATTCAAGACGAGGGTTTGAATTCGTGGAATTGAAAAAAAAACGTATCAAATAATTCAAAAAAAGAAATCAGGATATAAAAGAGGATAAAGAATGAGTGCAACTGCGCCATTGCAACCTATTCTAACCCATGTCACGCAAAGTCTTCAACAGTTGGTTACGATAATTGCACTGTTCCCAACACGACTCAATCCGACTGTTAACCTAAGGGTTTGTAACTTTCTGTTGTCCATGTTTGGAACTTTGATTGATAAATCTGTGCTGCTATATGGGCTTGGTGAGTGAATTGTCTCTATACAACTTTATGTCATAAGTTTTAATATGTAAAGTATAGGTATTCAGTAAAATCCTAGACACTCATTTCATCATACATCAATATGTAACCTGTTCAGGATATATATATGACAACATAGACTAATCATTTACAGTCCTAAATGTCGACGAGGCATTAAAAACCTTTTACTAATACTTTCAAACTCATTGAACAAGTTAGTAATTGCACTCAGTAGCTCTGTAGATAATGTGCTCTAAACATTTTGAAGAGAATGGTACTGGGTTTTCTAGTGCAGGTACATCCACTTGACAAGTCTCAAATAGGATGAAACACATGCTCTGGGTTCCATTGAGACCCTTATGCCAAATATACTACTTGAGTCATGTTTAAAAGTTTTCGTTGAACAATCAAATATTTGGGTAGGTAAATAACTTTGACAATGTAGCACAAAATCATACCGATAGGAAAATATTCACTAAATATAATAAATATATTTTTATGATATCCCTATTAGTAGGAAATTGTATTTCTGACGTTTCATGACTTAATGTAGGTTACTTCTTTAGAGTAACTAAATAGCCGTAATAATATATATTCATATATTGGATTATAGATATGCACGAGTATGGATGTGCATGACAGTTACTAAATCTAGAACAAAAAAGGAATATGTAGCTTTCAATAGTTCTGAAGATTATATCAATCAGTCTGTCTGTGGTGAAGCCAACTATCTTTATACTGTAAAATTCTTTACAAAGTAAATACAATCTATTCTTTGCTCAGTTATACATTGACCTCTGTTAGTCAGTATGCTACTACCACTACTACAAGTGTTAAACTAATCTGGCGACTGTTCAAATTAGTTACAAGGTTGTTTTTTATTCCTACTAGTGATCCTTCGCTTTTTAATGTATATTTCTCATGTAATCCATTGTTGTTATTATTATTTATGCGCAGTTCATTATAGTTGTGCTTGTTTATACATATAAATACTTGCCATAGAAAATTAAGGTGAATCTATTTTGTGAATTAAACCACTTCAATTATTATTGTTGTTAGTATTATTATTATTATTATTATTATTATTATTATTATTATTATTATTATTATTATTGATATTATGAGTTATCACTGGTGTAATTATCATTATTATTATTACTAGTTATCTATGGTACTATTTTTATTGTCCTCAGCTGACCTTCGTGCATGCTTTCGATTTTACTGCTGTTTACATTCACTGTTTACACATTCATTCACTCTCATTCTCTCCTTGTTCAACTATGCCACTGTGTACATGTATGTGTGTTCAGTCGTATGTTTTGTCCATTTATTATTATATACAAATATACAATAATTAATCTGATTATTTTGTTAATGTATAAAATGCCAGTTGTATTTTCTAAATGTGTTTTAGTAATCTCCTTATTTATTTATTTATTTGGTTACTACTAATACTACTACTTATCTATTCATTCATGTATTTCATACAGATATGTTTGCACTTTTGTAGTAAACTAAAAAAGATGGTAATACGGTGTGAGGAAAGAAACAAGAATGTGTGTGGTAATACTGATGATGGTGATGATACAATGAATCTGAGATGTTGAACTTTGTATTGATAGATGGCGATATACATATCCTGCGGTCGTGTGTGTTTGTTTGGATGATTACCTACTTTACATTATATGACATAGTGCCCTTATGATATAATATGTGAGGAAATAAGTTATTTAGGCTTTCATTTAGACTATTGTACAAGCAATGTGGACAGTTGGTTGAAATTTTACAATATTAATTCAAATCTATCTTGTTTTGTTCTTTTGTCATTATTACAGCTCTTTCATTATTATTATTGTTATTATTATTATTATTATTATTATTATTATTATTATTATTATTATTATTATTATTGTTACTATTATGTTCTTTTGTGCGTTATCGATGTGGTTGAAATTCAGTTCATTTGGGCTATAACTCAAAATCAGCTGAGTGAATGAATTGGTTAGTTAGTTAGTAGTGGTTGTAATAGTAGTGCAATGCCACGTGATCTTCATCTATCCATATCAGCTGAAGACATTAGTTCATTAGTTGACGATTGTCTTATTTGTGTTTTTGTTGTGTTGTGTTGTGTTGTGATGTGTGGTATGCGTGTATATTGTATTGTATTGTTTGTTTGTTTGTTTGAATACTCAATAAACTGTGTATTTGTTATTGTTATTGTTGTGTATTGTTTGTACAGTGTGTATGTGTGTGTGTGTTGCTTGGACTGATTGTTTGTCGTTGATTATTTAATGGTGTTTTTGTTTTGTTGTGTATGTGCTTTGGTGTGATGATAGTGTACTGTTTATTTATTTATTCATTTATTCATTTGTTTAAATATTGGATTGTTGTGTTTTTGTGTAAAAAATAATTGAATTAATTTGCTCATTCATGTGTTTATGGATTTGTTGTTGCGTGTTAATGTCCGTGTTCTAGAGTGATTTTGTTAGTGTATATCTATGCCTATGTTCAGATATGTATTTAAATGTATCACTGTGTGTGATAGTAGTTGCCATTGTGTTTTTATGTATGTTTATTTGTATGTGTTTATTTGCATTCACATATCCACTTTGTAGTACACTTGGATTAATTATAGACAATGAATAGACTCTTTTCTTCATTCTTAATTTATTTATTATGGACATTTTTAATTTTCTATTTCGTATCCATTTCTTCTTGTAAAATATTGTAATTTTTGGTCTCTCTCTCTCATACACACACGCACACTTATCGATAATACATTTTCATATGATTAATTATGATTGCATATTTCTTATTATCCCTAACACAAAATGACAAACATATTTAGTTGTAATGGTAATAATAAGTTGAAAAATAGTCAATCATTTCAATTAAGTTCAATATTATTAATGACCAATATAAGAATAATGATGTGTATTTGTTTGTTCATAAAAAAATTACATTCTTGAAATAATTGTTTTGTTTCACTGATCTATACAATTCCAAAAATATTCTTATTGAATATGAAATCTTTAAAATTGTTTCACTTTGATTAAAAGTTCTTATAAGGTAGTCTTGAGTCAGTAAAACATCAGTAGTGTGTAAGTTAAAACATGTCATTAATACATAAAGTCATAGATTATTAAATTAAACCTTGTTCGTAGGTACAAACTACATGGTTTGTGTCCGTGTAACTATTGCAAATAATAATAAGATGAAATAGCTTCTGAACACCGGTCACATTAGCACAAATTGATTTACTTTTTATCTTATTCTATATTTCCAGGTTCAGTATTCCTTTCACACAGATCTTTTGATTCTCCAATCTTTCTCATTTTTATTTTTTCTCTATTCATATAATTAATTTCATCTTGTTGTGTTAATATCTTGTAACAATATGGGTCAACGTATAAATGTGTCTGGTTCTACGTTGATTTTAACTGACTGAACCCCCAAATGCCCTGGTACGGCCGAGAGTGGGGAAAGTCCGTTCTCCCTCTCGAAATGCTCTCACATGGCCACGCGTATATAGCCTCTGCCAGGGAAGTCCTACTCACTACCTTCTCGTGGCGGGGGTGTTGTTTACAAAAATGAGAGGACGAAAAGTGAATGTCCGGCGCTTTAACCGGATTCCAAACCGATGATGCACATGGGCTCCAGTATCCTGAGGGAACAAATGACGTATGAACCAATTGTTGGTCACCGGCTTCCATGGGACTGCATCTCCTTACGATGCTCCACTGCCATGTGGGTTAGACCTTTAGGTCAAAGGCTCGGGGAGTGGCCCCCTAAAATAACCACCTGCTTCGGTTTGGGTACCCTAGCAGTATCATAGCCCTCACACATATCAAATGAGATTTGTGTAGCGCATATGTATTTGGTGCCTCCTCGTGCCAATATCTATGTATTAAAATAAATAAATAAATAGTAACTGACTGGTCAATTGAATTATATTATTTGAATGAATTGATACACCTAAAATTTTATTTACTACTAACATTAATTAATTGTATACATGAAATATTGGAGAACACGCTTGAATTCAACACTTTTTCGGATCACTCGTTGTATAATCATGTCGCATATTTTTCTGTTGTGTTTTCATTTCCATGTGATTCTGTATCGCATCCTTTTACTCAACGTTATTAGTTCTCACATCTGTATGTCTAAATAAGAAAATTCTTAAGATGATGATCACCGTTAAATCTTATTGTCCTGAATATCATCCTGTTTTGTTTGAAACTGGTATGCTTTATGTGTGTGTTGTATTACAAATTGGACTAAAATACACATACACTTGTTCATCCATATATTTTTTTTAAATTTTCAATCATTTCTTCAACAAAATCAGTTTTAAACCAAGACAAAATAAGATAATATATACAAGTGTATGTATGTGTATATTTAGACGTCGTTTATGTTTGTATCCAGGTTTGTTCGTTGTTGTTTCTCTCTTCGCTCTCTCTTTTTTATATGTAAACAACTAATTCAACTGTCAGGTAGGCAAATTTCTTTTAAAAAAGTTGTTTATTCATGAAGCACTTAATTGACCTGATTTTTCAACAATGATCTATGCATAATTGTTATTACAACACAGTAATATATTCCTATATAATAATATAAAATAATTAATCGCTAAGCCAAACGATTCAACATCACAATGTAGCCTATTTTTAAATTGCCGTTACTGATGACCATTTCTATTCATAGGGATTGTTGATTGTATACTGAAAGCAGTCAACAAGAAGCCCAGTTTAATCACCTTGATTTTTTGCTAGTTAGTATACTTCAGTAAGACGTTTATCTGCAATCTTGGAATTGTTATTATCATTATAGGTCAGTCTTTTTATAAGCTTACTTTCTTTGACCATTATTAGATTATGGAGATTGTTAATTTTCATTAAAGTTAGGCATATACACTGCTCAGTGGTCCAAAGATTAAGTGTTTGCAAGCGAGACCGAGGGTCATGCGTTCGATTTCCAGTTGCGTGACCGTATCTCAGACTAGGACGGAACAGTCGTCTAGTGCTTTCAGGTTTCAGTAATTGTCTAACTTTGGTCGGTTTATGAATTCAATGATTTTCGCCTGTTTCTTGTTGTTTTTTAAGCTGATTTTTCCCTATCTTTTCTACCGATATTCATATTAGTTGTTACATTGACAATTCAGATGACTTTGGTCAAGAAACATTACTTTTTTCCACAGATATGTATATAGTTTCATATTTGTTATTTGTTTATTAATTTTGTCAGTTTTTCAGTTCTTTCCATTGTCTTTTTCTATGAATATTGTACCTGAATAGATAACTAGGGAGAGAGAGAGAGAGGGATAAG